CAATCTCTCCAAAAGGGTAGAAATCTACATTTCTACTCCTATTTTACAAATCCTAAACTTTTTTCACACTTTTCCTAACATTCCTCTCAGAGAAAACCCTTTTTCTAACCTAAATTCATTCTTTTAAAGTGTAGGGACGAAATTTGAAGAGTTGTCACAAGAGTCCTTTCAAAAAGCGTCCAAATACGTTGAATTTCGGCCTATAACAGCCAAAAGTCGGTCCATAGTCGTCCCGAGCGTAGTCGGTGGGCTCGAGGGAGCCGTTGGCGAGTGGAGCGTTTCTGTCATTTTTTGGTCTTCTTGGGTAAATCTCGCCGCGGAGCCATTTTGGGCGTCGTCGGCGAGCAGACTGCGCAGCTCCACCGTTTCGCTCCGTTTGGCTCCGTTTTAGCTCTGTTTCACCCCATTTCAGTTGCATTGTGTTCCTAACAGATAACCCTACAAAATAAGTTTGAAAAAAACCTTCCTTTAAAGTGTAATCTCATTCAAAAATATGCAAGAAGTGCAAAAGAGATTAAGCATCGAAAGACTTATCGAAAGGTGACAGGACAAAATTTCATTTCTTGCTCTTTTTTTGCTCCAAATTGCACTGTTTTTTCATTTTTTTGCTCAAATAACCATAATTCACCATACCTGCAACAAAACATCAAAAATACCCTTTTTTAAAGTGCAATATCATCAAAAATATTATAAAATAGGTCTGAAAATCTCAACATATTTTCCTTTGGTCAACAACCTGCTTCAACATTATGTAAAACCAAACATTTGAGTGTAGTGAGGTATAAAACATTTAAATTTAATTTTTTAAAATATATTCTCATTAGTCTTAGGACATTATGCATACCATATATATCTAGGCTGCTTGATTTATAATCAGTCGAAGGCCTACAAATCTTAATAAACAACAACCTGCCCTATCAGGCATCATCAAGATCAGCCTTGCATGGTTTTTAATGCATTTAAGTGGTCTAGGTGGTAGCTCTTTTAGGCAGGGTTGTAAGTCCATTGCATTGCAGATTTTCCTTCTTTTAGGTTAGGGCTCCGAAGTTTCACTTCTCTTGGTTAACTTCACCCTAGGCCTCTGAGGTTGTTAGTTTGTTACAATGTAAATTTTCATCTTTAGGCTCCTACACGATTTTATGTAGTGGAATTCTAGCATTCTAATAAAACATCAGAATAAAACATTAAAACCATTCTTTGAAAATGACATGATTCAACTTCTTTAGGATAAAACCACAGCTTTAATCAAAATTTTTCTTAAGTAGCTTTGGTCGTTTAAGATGTAATTAACTATATGGGCTTGCAACTATAGGAAGGAGAAGTTCCCAGAACTAATCTAAACTCTATTTAGTCTCCATATTAAATAGGGGAAGTGGTATGTTAGATTTAATCACAGACAAGTGATGATATCATATGTTTTCTTTGTTCAAAGAATCCAACTCATCATAAAATTATATTTCTACTTTTCAAGGCAGTTTATTACTTTTAGTGAAACACTCGATTATTCAAACACCCCAAATATTTGAATTCACACGATGTTCAAAAACCCCGTGTGGAGGAGAACAGTAATGATTAACAACAAAATCCCAACAAGGCAGACAATTATGATAAAATATGTTGATCACACATAGATTCTTCAAAAACCTACAGTCTACGTAAGTCATACTACTGTATCTTTTGCGATCAAGAAGGTTTTCTCAAATCATTTTCAAAATGGTATGACAAAATTTCCAATTTTGGCTAAACCACTCAATTAGAAAATATAATTTAACAAATTAAAACAGATGACTTCAATAATGGCCCTAAGTAAGCCAACAAACTTTCACATCTCCTAAATATTTTCACATTTCAATTAGGATAACGTCAGATCCTACTAAATTTTCACCCTTGGGTTTCCATAAAACTTCATTAGCTTCTTTTTTACTAATGTGACAGTAATAATAAAATATTTTATTATTATTAATGATATTAAAATCACTGAGATAGATCATATTTTCAAAAACTTCATTGAAAAGTTTAGTAGCCCAACCAACTATGTTGAAACTTTACTTTTGTTTTCTCTTAGTTTAACTAGTTTATAGATATATTTTTCACAATTTTTAGTATTTAATCTATTATAAAGATCACTAAAAATAGAATTTTTAGGAAATAAATTATTCTCTTAAACTCCATATGGGCACCTTATATTTTTTCCCAGTTCTCTAAGCTTTTAAATTTAAAACAATTTGAATAACACAACTTCTTATATTTTATATTTTCCTGCACATTATTATTCCACAACTAATAGAAAAATTTTCTTTTGATTTTCCAAGTATTTCTTTTCTCACTTGTTTAATATTGTTTGTTATTATATCCTACATTATTATTCCACTATAAACTAATTTTATTTATTGAAACTTTTTCTTTTGATACTCTAAGCACATCTTTTCTCACTTGTTTATAGAAACTTTTCTTTTTGATTCTCCACGTACATCTTTTGTCATTTGTGCAATAATATTTGTTATTATATCTCATATAAAATTAATTTGCTTCTTCATTATTATATCTCATATAAAATTTGCTTCTTCATGAACATCCCAAATATTAAAATCTTGAAGTTTACGCATAAAAATAATTTTATTTGTATCTTTTCCTATGACAATATTTCCCCCATGACAATATTTCCTAGTATTCTTTATCTTATAACTCTTCATCTTAAAATCCGTAAGTAATAATCAATGTTGAGTAATTAAATTATCACTTGGATTGCCATTACAATCTTTACACTCTCGACGATCTCTTTTTCTCATAAGAAAATAATCAATTTGTGTTTTATTAGATTCATGCTTATAAATAATAATATGCTCATCTCTTTTCTTAAATAAAGCATTAACAATAAGAAAATCATATGCTAAAGCAAAATCAATATTGTTCTACCTTCTTCATTAATCACTCTAAAACTGTAGTCACTATGAATATTTTTAAAACCTTATACCCTCTACCAACATGTCCATTTAAATCTTCTCCAATAAGAATTTTTTTTTTTCAAGAGTATCATTTGTATTAATTCTTCTAGGTTATTTCATAATTTTTTTAGAGCCTATATCTAAACCTACTTGAGGAGCATAATCACTTATAACATTACAAATCATAATATCAAAAATAATCTTAAGAGCTATAATTCTATCTCCAATTTTATTTATTTTTACAACGTTAACTTTTAAACTCTTATCTATAATTTCACATACCATTTACAGTGTCACTCTTATATGAATACGAAAGTTTAAAACATAAGCTATCAATCTTCTTAGTTTTTTCTCCAACCAATTTAGCTTCTTGAATACATAAAATATTTATCGTAATATCAACTAATTTCATTAATATACATTTGATAATAGTTATAATTGAATATTTTATTGTAATATTAATTTCATGGACTAATTTTTTTATTCGCATCCTTTCGTAATGTGAGAATCTTGCTTATTTGATAGTACACTCGGGCGCCGATAAAACGGTCCTTGCACACTTTTCATCGTATTCGGGCCATACAATGCATCGCTTCCAGCGTAGGCTCTAACATTTACACAAGAATTTAATGGATTTATTTCATGATTTTTTGACCACTTTCACTATGGAAATTTATATACATATTACTCAATTCTTATGTATTTATTTATCTCACATCTAAATTTTAATTTTTGCATCCTAAAAATCTTAACTTATATATGAAAAGATGAATTACACTGTTTATACTTCTTTAATATAGAAAAAGAGGTTTTATTAAATAAGAAATAAAATTGGGGTAATGCATGAGAATCGGGTGCTATGAAGGTAAATTCTCGTAAGAAAATTGACATGCCGAGAAGCGCCGGGGTTGTGATATATCTGGCGTAATTCACCGGCAGTTCCCTGCAGGCCTCGATCTTCTGCTTCACTCGCATTGAAGAGTCTAATCTTTGGTTTCCTCTGCCCCCAAAATCCCAAGCCTTTGAAGACCTTATCAACAGCGAAGGGGAGGGCGGGATGAACGGGTTCCCCGGAGAACCGGTGGATGTCTTGCAACTCAAGGCCACCATGGACGCCGTAGAGCATGCTTGCTCTTTGATACGGGTCTCTTTTCTTGCGCTTTTCCCTTTCTCTTACTCTCTTTACATGAACTTTATCTGTATTGGCTTTTTCTTTCTTGGTTATCATTGTTTTCTGTTATAGGGTGTTTGGGTAGCTTATGGTTTCGATCAAGCCCTGAAGTTTTTGGTTGATGTTATGCTTATGATTTCATTTAGTAATTCTCAGGAAACTAGATTTCTTATTTTGCTTGTTCCCCTTGAATTGCATCGCTTGTACATTAATCGTAAATCAGACATTCTTTTTGCAGCATTATTTTTTTTTGGGAAGAAAGAACCATATGATTGATGGGACAAAAGTTTTAGCGGTTCTCTTAGAGCCTGGTTGCCCGGTTTACTAAACCTTACTAAACAGTTTTGCGAGCCACATAATTCCTACTAACATATAAAATCTCGTTTTCTATCGGATTTGATGTATCTTATTTAACATAAATCATTTGCATCCAGACACGGCCTTAAGATATTTACCCTACTTCTCCTCAGTATGCCTCTTCTTTTCCTTCATTTAAATCCTAAATATTGAAAATATCTGCCAAATAATTTATTAAGATCGAGCTTGATTTATATCTAGCTTGCCAAATAGTTTTAATAGTTTAGCACCTTCGAGAAATGCTAAGTATGAATCTACATAATTTACTAAATGCTACTTGAATTAATTATGACTTGCAGCGAAGCAACCCTACATTATATTTGTTCCCCTTGAGGCCCATGTTAGTTAGATATGTAGCATTTGCTGCAATTTATGATGAATCATCAACTGGAGTGGAGACCTTTTAGTGGAATGGAAGTTAACTGTTTAATGAGGAAGTGGTCATACTTACCACAAATGCTTGATTTAGGGTACAGTGATATGCATTTTACTGCTAAATTTCATTTAGTGTGCCACAAATTTACAAATTGATCTGGTATCTGATCTAATCCCTAATCAAGATAATCAGTTGTTAGTTTTCTTTCCTGTCATGCTTTTCCAGATCTCGATCCTACTTTAGGATTGTTACATATTAGTTTGTTAGTAATTGCCATCCATTTGCCAACCATTTTATTTTTCTTTCTTGTCAAACTTGGCAGGTGTTGCTCGTTCTCTTATTTTACTTAACCTTTATTTTAAAAACAGCTTGTTTGGCATCTGACTACACGTTCATAAACTCATTTATTGTCGATTATATTATTTCTACGCGTGCTAATTAGCATGATTTTGCCAAGCACATTTTGGTTTATCAAACGAGTCCTTTGCACTTCTATAGCTCACATTTTTCGATTTTTGTGATTGTTGCATATTAATAGTAAGTTGTTGTCCTTTATTGTTTTGTATTGTGTGATTTTAAAGAGTAAATAAGGATTGTTTATAAGTTTAGGGTCTATTTGGGGCAGCTGTAGCTTATTAATAAGCTGCTGATAAGCACTGCCGTAGATAAGCTGCTGAGCAGCAGCTGATCTGAATAAACTAGTTGACTGTTTGGTTTGTGCTGTTGGAAAACAACAGTGTTACAGCTGTTTCTGGATAAATAATAATTCTGTCCCTGTGCAGTAATGTTGTTTGCAACAAAACTGTCATACCAATATACTTGATACATGAAAAGTAAAAAACCACTTCAAAAGGGTACAAAAATATGATATATACCTCACTTAACAGTGAATATCAAGATCTCTGTGAATATCAAGATCTCTAAAAAAATTATTAAAATTACATTTAAAAATATGATAATATTAGTTTTAAAATGCAGACGACGTATATCATGAGCTACGTCGTCTTCCAGGGATACCATTCATTCCCGATTATTGTCTGCAGTGGAATCTGCCAGACTGTCTGCCCATCGAAAGAAGTCACACTTCTTCATGATTCTCTACGGACACTTGTACAACTATCTCCCATAGCTATGTGCCTGACGTGTCGTCAGTAGGGAAGTCTGAAGTCCGTAGTGGCAGAGCAATAGTTGGGAGGTACCTGAAATTCTTGGGCTTGTCGGCCGTTTTAATTTTGATTTTGAAAAAATATAGGAAAATATGAAAATAGTTTTGATATGAATGTGATTTTTGAAATTAACATTTTGATTTAAAAATAGGTGAGACCAAACGAGTCTTACATTTTGGATAGTTTGGGTGACTAAGCTCGATACCACAAGTAATACACTTATCCCAGAGAATAAACATATCACCTGTAGTAGACTCAATCACCTAAATTAAAGAATTTGTGACATTCGTTTGGTCTGCAAAATATTTTATATTTGACCAATAAGTTCTCCTACCTAATATAAAGATTAGATATAGTTTATTTTACCTGCGTTCTAAGTTTCCTATAGAGGCAAACCCCTATAGTTAATTACATCTTAAATGACCGGGGTGACTTAAGAAAACTCTCGATTAAGATCAGTGGTTTTACTTTCCAGATTTTAAAGTTTAGATTTTCAAGATTGGACATGGGAAAATCAAATAAAAGTGACTCAAACAGGAATAATTATCTTAAGGAATCCATGAGAATGAAAAGTAGGGGATATCACAGATCCAGGGGAAATCCTGGTGATTTCCCAACTATCCTATTGTTTGACTTTATATTTTTGAAATAATGTTATTTAATGTTTTAATCCTGCAATTTATTTAGAATTTAAGACTTATATTCGCACGATATCTGATCATGTAAATAACCTAAAAAGATAGGAGGATTTACACCGTACCGTACGGTAACCTCAGAATCCTAAGTGTTAGGACTTATGATTACACAACAGGGTTGCGCAAAAGTCTAAAGGTGATATGTGAGGGTTTACGCTGCGCTAGGTAAACCATCTCGAAATCCTATGGGCTGCTATCCTGTTATCTAAACTAAGAAAAATGCTTAGTGATATGAATGTGTTTTGATGTTGATAATCCATCTTGAAGTTGCACTTCTGAATGTCCTCGTCGTGCTGCCCACACTATTTGCTCCAAGCTCTTCGACGTAGCACCTCCAGGCTTAATGTTAATCCTATATATCCACTATGGTTTTCCTAAACTAAGGTATAGTGTGTATCAAAG